AGTGTGCAGCATGACAGAGGAGCTGACAGAGAGCAGAGCTATGACAGTAAGCTAAAATTAACAAAACTGTGGCTAAAAGCACAAATTTGCTAAACAGCAACTAGACAGTTATCAAAATAGGAAAAGTACAGCTAAAAGCTAAAAATAACCAAATGGCAGCTCAAAGCTAAAATTGGCAAAAAAATCATAGCCTTAAGCTCAAAGCAAATTTTGGCTAAACTATAGATTAAAGCTAAAATTAGCTAAATGGTATCCAAAAGCTAAATGTGGCAAAGCGGTAAAAGAAAGTTGAAGGTAGCTAAATTATAGTTAAAAGCTAACATTGGCAAACTGCAGCTAAATGCTAAAATTGAGTAGCAGTAACTGAAAGCTAAAATTAGCTACCACAGTTCCCTCTTTCATGTTTGTCTCTTCTGCTTCTTCTTGCATCCTGATGCAACGTTTGGAATATCTGTTCCGCTTGGAAAGCCTAGGGAGGGGACAGGAGGGAGGGGGGAGGGGGTTTCTATCCTCAAACACAGGTGGGGCTCTCTTGACCTCAGACCACCACCCCCCCGCCCCAGCTGTGAAGTGGTTGGCCATCTGATCCTCCATTAAACCCTGATAATTATGGATATGTCTTTTTCAAACCTGATCTGCAAAGAAAGATTGGGGGGGGGGGGGGGGTGTCTAACTGAGCTGTAGCCGGGGTATTTGTTTGTTTGTTTGTTTGTTTGTTTGTTTACAATCACTTGAGGCGCAACAACTTTTCATTGCCTGATTTTAGCTGATACAAAACTGCTGAATTCATTTCTTGACTGCCTGCTGCCACAGACAAAAAGGGCAATCATGTTTAAGCGTCTGTCTGTTAGCAAAATATCTCATGAACCACTGGATGAATTTTAATCAACCTTCCTGTGAGTAATCACTGGGTGTGATTCTACAACTGATGACCGTTCGGGTTCAACACAATTCTAGATGGCCGCCACAGGAGACTGAGTTTGGAAACCACACAAATGGCTGTAGCTCAGTTGCTTTAACAGATACGGGATTAAAATTCGGTATGGTGGTAGCTGAGACTGCTCCTCAGCTCAAATTCTAAGAGCTATCAGCTCACTTGAGTGCTGCTCTGAAAATGCTGCACATTAACTATTGGAATCAACTGCATCTGTCTGTTAGCAAAATATCTCATGAACCACTGGGCTGATTTTTTATGACACTTTCACATTTAGATACATCAACACGTGATCAACCTCTGGAGTCGACCCAATTCAAGATGGCCACCACAGCTGGCTGATTTATAAAACAACACAAAATACTGTAGCCTAAAATGTCAATAGTACAGATAGAGAGCTCAAATTTGGTGTGGTAGTAGCTGAGAGTCATCCTTAACACATCCTCCGAGGGCTGACAGATCTCGCAGCGTTGCCTCAGACATTTGCAGGAATTGATGAAAGTGGCTCAATTTCCTTTTCATCAGGACGATTTCATAAAAAGCGGTGATTTCTATTTTAAGAGCTTTTTTTTTTTTTTTTTTTTTTTTTAAACAGCTGCATAAACATGTGAAACTGCGCCTCCTTTTTTATTCTGCAGAAGATCTGAGCGCGCAACTGCCGGAGCAGGCGGTGGAAGGGGGGCTCGGAGGGGGGGGTTCGGGGGGGCTGTTGTGGGATTTGGGGGCTTCCACGCAGCGTCACGCAGAGTCGATGATCGTCTCCCTCACAGTTTGTAACAAACCATTGCTGAGGATCCAGACAGCAGCAGCAGGACTCCTCTCCTCTCTGGACCTCATGTCTCATCATCATGGCTCCGCTCAGATCCACTTCCTGTGAAATGAGTGGACGTTTGCGCGTGCACGGACTGCACCGAGCCGCTGAGTGGATTTAAACTCGGATTGCTGTGATTCTTTTTTTTTTTTTTGTCCTTCTTCTTTTTTGTGTTAAAGAGGAGTCGCTCCTGTTTGCAGTCCTCCGGGTTCCTGCAGAACTCCAGAGCCCATGCAGTCTCAAAGGTAACACAAATCTGCTCAGTTTGGAGCTTTTGCTTAAAAAATAAAATAAGTGACCTAAATGTGCATTTTCTTTCTAATTATGTATAGCATCCAAAAAGCTGGATGCCTCAGTTAAAATAAATAATTGTATTAATGGCACATCCAGGGTTTGATGTGCAGAGATCCTGCAGGCTGCAGAGCCTCACCTGTTACAGCCTGACAGCTCCAATTAGTCCTCGTTCCCTGACAGCTTCTCCTCTCCTGGCTGGAGGTTTAACAGGCGCCATCTGTTGGAGGGGGAGGTAAAAGGAGGAGGCTGTCAGGTAGATGTGAAAATGCAGCTGCTGCACCCGGTGAGACAGGTCCAGATGTGTGTCCTCCTCACACAGTAAGTGTTTAAACTGAGGCCTCCTGGCAACACGGAGCAGATTTCAGTGGAATAAAGGGTCAGGATTTAAGAGACCCTGAAGTGCACCTGCTGCACGTGGAGCGTCCCGATGTGTCTTCAGACTGGAGAACCTTGTTGATGTTTTTATTCATGGTTAAACTGTGTGACGAGCAGCCATTTTATTCAGGGCAGCTCAGGTTCCAGCCTTGTGCTGTGTTCGTAGATGTGACAAAAATTAGACCCGTGGTCTCCGGTTGTCTTTGAAAATCAATTTGTCCTTAAATGGAGAGTTCAGACTTTTTTCAAGTGGCATTCTGGGGAAACATTGAACGTTATAGCATCCGATCTGTTGTAGATAGCTCGTTTACGGAAGACTATAAGGACCACTGTTAATCACATTTTTCTTTGTCTTCTTCAGAATTCTGAGATTAAATTCAAAATTCTGACATGTTTGTTTTTATTTTATTATTTTAATTTTGTGATTAAAATCAGAATTCTGACTTTCATCTCAAAATTCCAAGAAAAAACAAACAAACAAAAAATAACATGACCCGACTGGATGAGCTGAGTTTAGAGAAAATACCATTTAAATCTGACCCAATGACACGTTTTGTAGAGATGAGACTGGAACACAGAAGTTGAAGCCATAAAGTACAAACGCCTCGATGCTGCATCTTTTTTAAGCCCCGCCCCTCCATGTAAATGAATGTGTTATAAAAATAAAAATAAAATACACTCTATAAACTTTGTCAGGTGTACTTTTTTTTCACGTAGCTCCTTGTTAAATGCACATCTTCTAAACATTTAGCGCCAATTTGTCACTCGAGGTTTGAAAACAGTGTCATGTGACAGTGTGTGCATGTGCATGCCGGACTTTCACGAGCGATACAGAACCACGTCGCCCATAAACTGGACATCTTTGCTCCAGTTTTAAACGGTAAACGTTAACGAGTCTTTGTTTATGTTGAGGATCTGACTGACGTGCCAACAGCTAGTCTGAGCAAGTCCAAGGTGGCTTGCTGCCATCTTTTAAAAAAAATGAATACAGTTTCTAAACATTTATAAAGTTGTTTATGCAAATCTTTGCGTTGCTGTCAGTTTTGAATTCCAGTTTTTACACACGTTTGTGTACATTTGCAGCATAAATAGCAGCAGAAGCAAATTTTAGGACCTTTCTTTAATAGATTATATTTATTTTTAAACTGCATTAGCTATGCCTCTATTTTAGTTGCACGCAGACTAGCCTTTAGCTTGTCAATCTGGTCAGTTTAATTTATTTGTGTAAACTGAGGTCATTCAAAACATCATCTACAACAGGTAAGATATAAACTGTTCGTAACCTTTCTGCAGAGCCCCAAGTGAAAAGGTCTGTTACAGATGTGTTATTTTGTTGCACTGAAGATAATTTTGAACCATTTGAATAGAAGTAATTTTCCACTTGTTTTGAAATCTGCAGGTGAAAATGATCATGAGCAACATTTAGCTTTAATTCAATGGCTCTTTGTTTGTTTTTCACCCAACACTTCATGGGCAAGTTAACACATCAAAGCTCGCTGAGCATATTTATCTGAATCATTTCAGCGAGCAGCTCAGACCTTTCAGCTGCGCTCGCTCATTCTGACGTGAAGGCTTGGCATGTTGGGGGCCACCCCTGTGGAGAACGTGTGCAGGCCCAGACCTCGTCGTACCAGAACAGATCCATCACCCATGATGAGGGGACAGCAAACCGCAGAGACGCTCCCCGCTCTGTGGAAAAATACTGTACGGCCTGAGCACGCCGCCATCCGTCAGCTGGTATTTCAGCTGGAATGGCAATGAAAGGCACGGCTAATGTAGCATCTGGCAATCAAAAGAGGGAATGTGGGGGCGGGGGCAACATCTGCTTTACTGGTCATTGGAGCAATGCTGGTCAGCTCTGTTAGAAAAAAATCTCATATTTCAAAGAAAATCCTTCTAAGAGCTGCTGTCAATCAAATTTAAAATCCTTAATCTTATTTAAATATTGTTAATTAAATCACAAGCGGTATCCTTCACAGGTGATGGACACAGATTAATCTGTCAAGATTTTGTGGAGATAAGGTTAAAATATATTTTATATGTGTGGCTTCAGGAAACTTTAAACTTGAGTTGTTTGTTTGTTTGCTACAGTACGTCCATATGTGAGTCTCAGTTGAAAGAGGTACAAGCATTTATTTGCAAAAACTGGAGCATATAACAGCAGTCTTATGATGGAATTTGAACACAATCTACTTGTCACTTTTTGTAGATTCATTTAATCTTGGTCCTTAACTGCTGTCATGAGATTTTATTGTCTATATTTTGAATAAATTTTGCATATTTACCAGGGGCGATTCTAGAATCTGACTTTTAGGGGTGCTTAGCCCCCAATGCTGATAATGGCTCTTGGTTTGAACAACATGGTGGCTGTTGGCATCAGAAGCATTCATAATGTGGAGGTGACACACTGGTGGGGGGACCTCCCCCAGAAAAATTTGAATAACATAGATGCCATTTCCTGCATTTTGGTGTATTTTAACGAGTTGTTAAACATCTACGTCAGGGTTTCCTAACACTGGGCCTTGAGGAACACCACCCTGCGTGTTTTAGTTGTTTCCTTGCTTTGATACACCTGATTTTAATGAATGGGTGCTTAACAGGCTTTAGCAGAACTTGAGGAAGTAATAAAATCACTGAATCAGGTGTGTTGGAGCAGGGAAACAACTAAAACATGCAGGATGGCATTCCTCAAGGACCATGGTTGGGAACCACTGATCTGTGTTTATCTACATAAGTAAAGACTTGATTCAATGACTATTTTAGAGAGCTCAGTCGGCACAACAAGAAGTAGCACTAAGCTACGTGTAATACAGACGCGCTAGCTAAGATGCTACAGACGTAGCACTCTGCTTTACAACCTAATAAACACTTTTTATAAAAATCAGTTTAGTGTTAACTGATCACAACAAACAAAGACTAAACTTATGCAACCAAAAGTTGCAACATAGCTACATATTTACACGCAAAACACACAAAACAAAGCACAACTAACTTTAACCTTTAATTTAACCATTACGTATACAATGTAATCATGACAAAATAATTTACCTGCAGTTACCTTCGTACAGATCATGATCAGAACATGTGGTACTTCCTGTTTATCACGTTGTGTTCAGCTGATCATGAGGTCGACCACAGGACTTTATCATCTTTTGCATTTTTCCAGACTCAGTTAATAAACTGTATTCCCCCCTCTAAAGCAGGATATTGAACTAAACTTCTCAGGGGGCACAGTTTCTTAAAGCCAGCAGCTCAGGGGCCGGACATCCAGCAATTAAAGTCATTATGTAAATAAAACAAGTAAAAGTTTGTTTTGTTGCATTGAATCATAAATGCAATAAACAGAACCCAAAACCAAAACCCAGAACTGTCTAAAAAATGTAACTTTGTTTTTCAGGGGTGCTGCGTAAAAACTTAGGGGTGCTTGAGCACCCCCAAAACGAGGCTAAAATCACCACTGATATTTACCCCACCCACCTCAAACCATATTTAACAAGATTAACTGATCTAATCTGTTTCTTGAATAAACTTTCTTGTCAACGTACGATGCCTAAATCTGTAGTAAACATGACAAATACTTCCCTGTTATAAACGTGAGAGCTTTCAGGGTCAGGAAAATATAGTTTTCACTGTCATCATCAACACAATAATCGATAAAGTGATAAGCAGATTGTATAAAAATAGAAAACATATTGCATCCACCCATGTGTCTTTTTTGTCACTGCGTTCCATCGTTTCATTGAAGTTAGTTATTTGCAGTGTGTGAAGGGTTTGATGCCAGTACGCATGCTTTTAATTAAATGGAAATGTTGTTTTGTAACTCATTATGCATGCACATGGTCCACAGCTTCACAGCAGATCTGTTTGGCTGAACATGTTGACTTGACTTGAGCTGAAAAGAATACACAAGTGAGCAAAATCTAGCCTGAGGGCCAAAAGTGGTCATGGACGACCTCACGTCTTACACATCCAAGGACGAGTTTACACTACCATGTTTACTAAAGATGAGATGTTTCTTGTTGCGTTTGCACATCCCGTTCACACAGAATGTGATTTTTGGTGGGGGAAAAACATTAAAACACTTTTATTAATAGATAAGGGAAGGGATTAGCTTTTAACACCTGAACAAAGAAAACGTCGTTGTTGTTTTCCATGTCTGTCCTGCTTCTTCGCTGTCCTGTAGCCGTTCAACTTTGATCATTGGCTGAAAAAGTTGCTCACTGAAAGAAAATTGTAAGAAAATTAAAGCGACAACCGTTTTAGGATAATCTTTAGGTGAGATTGTTTTGATTGTAATTATTTGATATGTTGGCCGTGTGCATGTTTTCATCGTAGATATTTTAACAATTTGGAAGAAAAGTGTGGACATGTTTTTTTTTAATAATAATGTTAATATCGGATTTTTTTTTAAATATCTAGAGTATTGTGAACAGAGTAGGCATAAGCTGTGATTTTCTAGGTTGCTGTTACCCATAATTGTAATGGGGGGGTGGGGGGGGGGGGTATTAATTTTTTTTAAAAGATAGGGAAATGAATATAAATATTTATTTTCCTTTTCTTTGAAAAAATATATAAAAAAATAAAATTTTCACAATAAGTATATTGAATTTGCCAAAAAAAAGTGTTTAATGGGACATTTTCTAAGTTAGCCACCAGCTACAGCTAACAATGCTGCTACATTTATAATTTGTCCATGAAACCCAATGAATCCAATCAGCTACTCAGACTGTCTTAAAGACTTGAAAACCTGGATGACCCTAAAAAAATCTTTATTTTCAATACAGACAAGACTGAGGTTTTAATTTATGGACCTGAACATCTTATAAATTAATTTCTAAGTCTTTCGCCCTCTTTGGATGGCCTTAATCTGGCCTCTAGTTCTAATATTTGTGTTATTTTTGATCAGGGCATGTTTTTTATCCCCCCCACATTAAGAAAAACATTACTAGAACCACCTTCTTCCACCTGCGTAATATCCCTAAAATTAGAAACAGCTTATCTAACTGGTTCATTTGTTACATCTAGACTGGACTATTGCAATGGTTTGTTATGCTGCTGCCAGAGTCTTTACTGGAGTTACTGGGAGAGACCATATCTCTCCAGTTTTAGCTTCTCTCCATTGGCTCCCTGTCAAATCAAGAACTGCATTCAAAATCTTACTTCTAACCTACAAAGCCCTCAACAACCTAGCTCCATCTTATATTACAGATCTTATTGTTCCATATTTTCCAAACAGAGCACTTCTCTCGGGCTGCAGGTTTACTTGTGGTTCCTAGAGTTTCCTAAAGCAGAATGGGAGGAAAATATTTCAGTTATCAGCTCCTCTCTTGTGGAACCAACTTCCAGTTTCTGTCCATGAGGCTGACACATTGTCCAGTTTTAAGACTGGGCTCAAGACTTTCCTTTTGGATAACGGGTTGGCTTGTTATGTTGCTATAGACTTAAGACAAATTGACCTAATTTCCTTAAATGAATTGTTAAAATTGAATAGTTTTCTTTTGATACTATTTCTATCGTAACATTCTCGACCTGCCATTGTGTATCTGTTCCTGCCAAACCAGCTGTTCAAAGCAGATGTTCACTTGTTCTGAGCCTGGTTCTGTTAAAGGTTTCTTCCTCATGAGGGAGTTTTTCCTTTCCACTGTCGCCTTCATGCTTGCTCAAGATGAGAGTTCTGTGATGGAGATCAGCACAAAGCAGTCTGCTCCTCAGATAAAAACAATGCTATTAACTAAATTTTTATATATGAATGTTTCTGTTCAGTGCCCTGAGATGACTTCTGTTGTGACTTGGCACTACATAAATAAACTGAACTGAAAATTAAATAGCTAATGCTAGGGAGGAAGCCATAGTCAGCGGTATTAACAAATATATATCTAGAATATAATGTATTGCAAAATACTGACGTTGAACATGCTCATTAATAAAAATGTTTGATTATCGAGCTAACCATCTTTTCAATGATATAAAACTAAAGAGGCCTTAAAGTTTTATTTGCAACAACTGCTTGAAAAACACTTTTGCTTTCTGGGTTAATATGTAATTTGAATAATTTAATTAAATCATTATGTCTCCAGAAAACAATATGATGCCCACCTCTGTTTCTTTTTGTTCGTTTTCCCCTCATACATTGAGCTGACAGTATGAAAACAAAGCTTTCTTTGCTCGTGACGTTAGGAGGACCGCACTTTGTAGGTCGTTAAAAGTCGAACAAGTCTGCACATTGACGTGTAATGTGAGATCTGGAGAGGGGGCGGGGCTGAGGCTCTAGCCGGCGGCGGTGATTGGTGGAGAGTGTCCGTGGCACCGCCTCCACTCCTCGGGAGGAACGGAGCTCCGCAGCTCTCAGCGCGCGCAGCGTCTTCTTTGAGCTGCTCTGTTTCGGAGGAAAGGGTCAGCTTGTAACCAGGCAGGGATGAGAGCACCGTGGACTGTTTTCTTGTTTTTCTCGTCGCTGGAGCTCCAGTTAACTTTCCCCACCTGTTTTTGTTTTAATGCTGCCTGAGCAGGGAGAGGAGTGAAGCGCGACCCCGAGCTGGATGGATGGTTATGGGGGAAAGAGGGAGACCCTCCTCGGTGCTTGAAGTGTGCAGAGTCCTCGCTGTGCTTTTCTCACTTTTCCCCTCCGGTAAGACCCACAAACTGTGTTACACTCAGGTCTTCGATAAGCCACCATCATGTTACCTCACACAGACACGGATAAAATAACGTTTTTTGTCAAGAAGAGGTTTGTTTTTATCTTAATTGAGTCGCTAGCTAACTTTTCCAGACGTTAAATTTCTCCAGGGTTGCCAGGTTCCCCCAAACACTGACACAAATCCGAAGCGATAAAAAAAAAAGAAAGAAAACTAAACCCTTAAAGTCACATTGTTATTAAATTTATAAGTGTGTGTTTATTCGTGTCGTTATAATTCTTGTGAATTTGGGCAATTATGTGAAATTAAACTGATTTAGAGACAAATATTTACGTGTAGTAAGCAGATGGGGGGGGGGGGGTGTAGGTCAGACTCTTGTTTTTGATCAAGTGTTGGTTTTTATTTGTTTTTGTTGGAGAAAAAGGTCATTTTAAAGCTGCTGCAGCTCTTTAATGCTGTTATGTTTTGGGGGATGGACCAGGTTTCATTAACCTTTTTTAAAAAATAGTGTTTTTATTTTATTTGTGTAGTTTAGGAGAAGATTAGACTTATTCTCTATTTATGTTCGTGTTGCCACACTAAAGATTTTTGTGGTTCTTTTAAAACAAAAGCTTAGATTACCTTTAAATCTGTCTTTAAGAAAACCCTTTGGATAACTATATATATATATGTATATTTATTTAAAAAAACAGTATTAAAGCTGATGCAACTGCATTTAGTTTATACAGTTTAAAACATTTTCAGTCAGGGCAGGTATATTACACTTTATTCAAAATGTACTTTTAAGCAATTGCCATAAGCAGCTGTTTTATTTATTTATTAATATTTATATATTTCAGTAGAAACAAAACTAAACCCAAACAATTCAATTTTCCAAACCTGGTAACTTACTTTGATTTATAAACCAAAACGAACACATTTAGTACCAAAATTGTTCGATCCAAATTTAAATCCTCTCACAGGAACACAGTATTGAAAATGATTGTTTTTTTTTTTGTATTTACAGGTAAGTGTGGTAAAAAGATAACGGGAATAATATTGTGTTCACATTTTCCCCCCTTTTTTTGCTTTTTGATCAGCTAAAATTAAAAAAAATGTTTAAAAAGCAAAAGTTTTCTTCAATTTTTTTGTGTAATTTAATAGTTGGACATAGTCAAAGTCGTGTTCTCTGTTGGTTCATTCACTCCCCTAAAACTAATAAAAGACGAAGCTCAGATAGTTGAGATCAAGATGAGTTTATTTCCAGCTGTCAGGTGGTTGTAAAGGCCTGAGTGGTGTTAGGGTTGCAGCAAAGCTTTTCAGACAAATACTGTCTAAAGTGTGACTTCAAAGTGTCCGTGCAGCTTCCCCCACCGAGACTCCGGGTGAGAGAGCTTGCAAATAAATGCTTTATTAGTCAAACGTGGTGTCGCAACGAGGCAGCGTGGAAGATTTGTATAAAGGGTTGGCTGTAAAAGGATTCAGACATGCAGGGGTGGTTATCTGTGAAGATGAAAATCCAGAATGATGTTTTAATGTGAAGTTAAAGCCTGTAGGCATGAGAGGGAACTCAATGTCCTCTTTTACTTTTTACAGGACCATTGGTAAATTTATTCTAAACGATGGTCACTCAGATACTCAACAGGATGTCAAACATGCTTAGTTTTTATTGTTATGCAAAGTCATTAGTTTCATTGTTTTTATTTGACATTTATGAGTCTGTATGAGAAACACGAGGATCTAACATGGCCAAAAGAACTGCTTCCACAGTTCCTGGACATCTTGACTCCCTGTCCTCTCTAATCTGTCCCTCCCAGTGAGTCTGCAGTGCAAGATCCAGAAGTGCAACACTGAGTATTTGACCTCGCCCTTGAACTCTGGACCGGAGAAGGACACGTGCGCGGCGCTGCGAGTCTACTACAGCTGCGTGGTCCGGACGACGCGCTCCTGCAGGGGCGACCTGTCGTATCACGCCACCAAGCATGGCATCGAGGACTTGATGAAACAGAACAACTGCTCGAAGGACGGGCCCACGTCCCCGCCTCGGGCCAGGACCCCGCTTCCTCCGCCGCCGCTTCCTCCGGTCCTGACCGACAGCCAGGAGCGCTCCGATGGGCCCGAGGTGTGCCACTACGAGCGCAGTCTTCCGCGCAACACGGCATCGCCCAACTACACCCATTGCGGCTTCTTCGGGGACCCGCACCTGCGGACGTTTGGCGACGACTTTCAGACGTGTAGGGTGGAAGGATCCTGGCCCCTGATCCACAACAAGTTCCTGTCGGTGCAGGTGACCAACTCCCCTGTGCTGCCAGGCTCGATGGCCACAGCAACGAGCAAGGTGAGAGTTGTCTGCTCCTCTTCCTCGACGCTCGAATGCACCGGTGTAGAAAAGTGGCTACTTGATATTTTTACTGTACTCGTCTTTATTCCATCTAAACCATGAAATGAAGAAGTAATCTTTGCAACTGGTCCTCCACATCAACAAAAAAGGTTCAATCGTGTCATCTGGACCAGTTTCTTTAAGTGAGAGACATTTCGTCCCCCCTCCAGAGGACTTCCTCAGTCTACAGCCAGATCTGTCCCATAGGTTGTTGGGGATCCTGCCACTGTTGACCTGTATGAAAACATTTGGATAACTCCAACTTTATCCTGATGTCAATGAAGTGTCCAGTGTTTTGTTTTCAATATCTATAAAGGAAATATGATTTGTTTAGCTTTATTTGATCCAAATTATTGGTTGATATTCCTTCCAGGGTCGAGTGTAGCAACAGATCAATACAGGGTTGTACAATAAGAAGGGCCAACAAACAAACAAACAAACAAAGACAAATTGTTAGGGATGCACAATATTATCGGCATGGTATCGGTGTCGGCTGATATTAAAGATAAAGTGAAATATCGGACATTCCATCAGAAAAACTCACCGACATAAAATGCTTGTGTTTTAAGTTGATTTTTAATTTTAAGAAACTGCCAAGTGTATCTATTAATGCATTACTACTTATGCACTTTTCAGTTGTTGCTTGTGAACAGGTTGAGTTTGGATTTGTGAAAATGTATTAATTTGCACTGTTCCAGTGTTGTCATTGTGTTAGAGAGAGTAAATGTCATGAATACATTTGACTTTAAACATAATCCAAGTTGAAGTGTTGCATCATTTTCAGACCCTTTTTGGCATCTGCATGTGGTAGCAGGTCAAACTGACAAACACCATGCAGAATAATGTAGTATTTTAACTCCACAGCAGAGAAAGCTATGTCGTCTCTGTAAGTAGGTCTAGGAAAAAAGATCAGTATTGGTTATCGGCCAAATAAGTTTTAACATATCGGCCAAAAATCCAATATCGTGCATACCTAACAAATTGTAAATGTTACTTGTACTATGACCATTTTTAAATCTAAAACCAAATTTTTGAGTATTTCTGTCTTAAAATCCTAAACACTATGTTATAATTGAGTGTTGGATGGTTTTTGTCCCCAGTTGCAGAGCAACGGGGGAATTAAAAATACCCTCTCTCGGTTCATCTAGCCATGAATGTTGTGAAAATGATAACTTGAATAATAAACGAGGTGCGACTTCCATTTTTGATGTGTGGCTGCACACAGAAAGGTTCATTTTGAAAATTGGGTTGTCACCTCTAAATCCAAGATGGCCACCACCATATCTCTTGACTGTGGTGGCTAAAGATAAATGTATAGTGGCCAAAGCCACCACTGGCCACCCCCTGGCTCTGCCACTGAACCTGGTGGTGGATGAAATTGCTCCCTCCTCCACTCTCCAGCATCCGTCATTTCTCTGCCTGTGACAATCAAAAATAAAACCTACCTCTCTTCTTATTCGCAGTGTAACTCCTGCTTGAATGTGTTGCATAAAAAAACCCAATAACTTGAACTTCCTGTTCAATTCCTGTCTAGAAAAATGTTCCTCAAACTACAAACATTCACTGTTCAAATTATTGCTTTCAAAATTCAAAGTGTAGCTGTTTTTGCAGTCCGTTGAAAACATACCGACTTTGTTTTGATCAAAAATGACTTTTTTTCTTCACCTTTGTTTCTTTGTTTCGCATCGTTGCTTCGTATTCCTGGATCCGGACTACCGGTCAGTCGACAAACACGATTCAAACTCTGCAACTTCTTTGCGACTTCCATTTTATTTTGGTGACATTTTCTGCAAGTTTCCTAAAGTCTTCCTGAACACGAAGCGGTCCAATGTTTTGGTTCGTGTTTTCTCTTTCGTGTGGTCGGACTGTTAACAGCTGCAGCTCCTCTTGTCAAACGCCGGGTTCTGGTTAGTGTTTGGATCTGTTCCAGAACGACGGGTCGAGCCGCCACAAAGACCTTTAAGCTTTTCTAAACGACGCGTCAGAAGCGGTTCAGCGTCGGACGTTAACGCGAGGCTCGTCGTGAGCCTGATGCTTGGGCTCCTCCATGACTGCGCTTCAATCTTTATCAGCAGGACACACGTGGTTCTGGTTGTTTAATGGAGCGGCGGTTTGTTTGGACGTCTTGTAGTAAAAGTCCACCCAGATTTGGCAGAACTTCAGCAGCAAATGTGAAGCGTTTAGACGGAGGTATAAAAGAAGTCAAACACATTTGTAGAGGCTGTAATTTTCTGTCATCAAGGTTTCTTAATGACGCTTATTAGACATTTGTGAGTTATTTAGCTTTTAAAGTAATTACATTCTCTGTTGCTATTCTTGGAATCAAATGAGAGTTCTTTATTATTTTTTTTAAGAGTACAAGATTTTTGGACTAAAGGGGTAAAACAAAGCAGCAGCAGCGAGTGGCACCTGTGCAAACAGGAAGGTGGATTATTTTCACTGCAGCGACTCAAACCGACGCTCGAGTCGTGTTTAGTTTCAGTCGGACCTTAAGATCCAAGCAGGAGCGTTCTGCTGCTTCCTCGGACAGTGGCTCAGTGGTGTCCCGTGAAGCCACGCCTGCAGAGTCGTGACCGGTCCCACTTGATTAGCTCCAGAGTATCTGGCCCCCCACCACCCCCAACCCCCCCACCCCCACCCACCGGAGCAGAGCAGAGCTCCGGGGGTTAACAGGCAGCGCTATGAATAGTTCGTCTTTGTGTCTGCAAACTGAGGCCTGACTTTACACGGCTGAGACTCGTGTTTTTATGGAGGGCGTTTACCTTGCCCCCCACCACCACCACCACCACCACCCCCTGCATTGAGCCAGCCCTGGAACGTGACACTTGAGTGGGGTGGAGGGGGGCGTATGTGGCGCAGGTTAGCACGAACCTGTTCTCAGCGCAAAGCTAAACGCATCCATTTTTTAAATTCTGTGGATTTACCGTTCCTGAACTGCACGGAGTGGATCGTTGTTGACCCGTTGGTTGATTTCGGCTCATGTGTGTTTCCCTCTCGCCCCTGCAGCTGACAATCATCTTCAGGAGTTTCCAGAAATGCGTGGAGCAGAAAACGTACCACGCCGAGACGGACGAGCTGCCCGCCGCCTTCGCCGACGGCTCCAAGAACGGAGGCGACCCCAACGGAGGCAACACCCTGCGCGTGGTGGAGAAGGTCCCCGGGCAGCACGTGGAGATCCAGGCCAGGTACATCGGGACGACCATCGTGGTGCGGCAGGTCGGCCGCTACCTCACCTTTGCCGTGCGCATGCCCGAGGAGGTCGTGAACTCTGTGGAGGAAGGCGATAACCAGGACTTGTACTTGTGCCTCCACGGCTGTCCCTCCAACCAGCGCATCGACTTCAGGAACTTTAAAGCTGGAGCGGCGGAGGCTCACGGCACGGTCCGAACCAGGAGCGGCGCCGGGACGCACGGCTTCACCTACCAGTCGGCTAAGGCCAAGTGCAAAGAGCGCCTTCCAGTGGAGGATCTGTACTTCCAGTCCTGCGTGTTCGACCTCCTCTCCTCTGGAGACATAAACTTCACCATGGCGGCCTACTACGCCTTTGAGGATGTAAAAATGCTGCACTCCAACAGCAAAAGATACCACATCTATGAAAACAACGCTCTGAGCGCCGCCGCAAACCCACACAAAGACCCACGTGTGGTTTTCCTCCTGGCCGTCTTACTGTGGACCGCGTGTTGCACAGTCCCCCTGTAGTCTGTTCACACCGGTGTCTTCATGTCGTTTAGGTCAGTAGATGTTAAAGTAGCGTCTCTGTGTCGTGTACCAGCCTCACACTTCTGCCGTGGCTTTGTGTGTTGACCGGTGGTCTGAGCCCGCCCAGCTCCAGGTCTCATTTTAGTCGTGTAGCCTCATCTGGACGTCAGGCTGACAACAAGACGGGCTCACCTCCCGCCCGTCTATCATCACGTGCATTTAGCCGCTCTTAATCTTTGAACAGAGCAGCTCTGGATTTCTACCTGGGATTAAATCCCCACGTTCTCACCAGCGCTGCATGCCTGTGGGAAGCTGGACAAGATGATGTTTTGCAGAAAGAGGGGTTCACTGATCCCTCTCCTGCTGATCCGCACAATGGTGCCAAGCCAGGGAAGCTCTGCGTGGCTCGTGCGGCAAAGCTGGAGGACCTGACAGGAGCTTTTGTTAACCTTCTAGGCCAGAAGCAGCTCCATGTTTGATTAGTTTTCAGCTTTGGAGACAGAAAAACGGAGCTTTATGGAGGAAGCACCCAGCCAGAGGGATGTCAGAGCAGCGTCTCCAGCCGTCTGCTGTGGAGATTAATGGGTCACATTGTTAGAGTGTGTGTGTGTGTGTGTGTGTGTGCGCGTGTGTGTGTGCACTAGAACAATATGTGTGCCGAATCCAGCATCTGTGGTTAATTTTGTGTGTTTGAGAGTGCAGGAGTTTCCAGATTTGTATAAAAAGAGCACTCCGGTGGGAGACATTTTTCTCATTTTCTTTGTGTTGCACCCATTTTTTTTCTTTTTGTTGTTGCAGAAAACATAAAAAGACAGAGTCTGCTCAAACGGGCTCCATCGGCCAAATAGCAGACTCCAGTGGGAACTAATGTAAAGCGGCGTTTACATTAGTGCACGCACCAGTTTCAGGGACGTTAAAGGTCTCCTGCATTGTTGGAGCGGACGTGTCGATCAGCGTTCAGCTGCACCCATGTGAAGAACGTCTGTCAACAGGTGGAGCGGTGCAGAAACTGCTGTTCCACACGTCACCTTGAGTCAGTGACGCGTCCACAGACTTCCATTGTAACGACCCGGCTGAGCCGCAGTGACTAAGCAACGAGCAAATGTCTGGGAACGTGGCTTAAAAAAAACACACACAAAAAAACCGCGCTCTTGTGCCAAGGTTTGTGTCACGCCTGAGTTTTCATCTTGTAGCTCGGACGTTAGCAGGGTCTGTCTTTTTGTGTTTTGGTGATCAAATATAAAAACCACATCACGGTCCCTCAGCGTGCACGTCTTCCCCATAAACGCCGAAGCACGGTTCTACGGTCGCCTATCGATCACGCTGAGTTGGAGTTGCGTGCCGTTCGACAACCACACGACTGTGATGTTGAATCTTGTTAATAGACGTACTTTGTACTGCGTGTTTTACCAGTATCCGTGTATTTTGTGAAATTGTACATACGTGTCGTGATACTGTGTTGAATTTATCTCCAGTTTTGTACTAAATGTTTTGGTGAATGTGAGCATTTTGTATGTTTTGTTTGAAAAGGGACCCCCCTTTTTTTGTTCATTTCAACGACACGAGCGCCACAGAGCAGATCGATTGTCAGCGACGAGTCACTCGTTTTGTTTTTTTTTAAACAGCCCACCTTTCCTCAAAACGAGAGAATGTAGGAAGAAATGCTCTGCGGGGTTCATGTTTTTGACTTTAAAGCACTTTATGGGTTTTTTTTTAACTCTTGTTTTTGTGATTAAAATAATTTTTTTAAATCGTTGAATGGGATAAGCCTGAAAGATCAAAGTGTGTTTTTATGTAAATCATGTGGTTCCACGTGCCAGCTGTTGCTAATGTAAGTTATTTATTGAATAAAAGACCAAGTCTGTCAACTATGTTTAAAGGAAAGCCTTTTTTAAAAGCTGCTCTATAACCTGTGGTGTTGTGCTGCCCCCTGGTGGAGGCCTGTTGACCAGCAGCTGCATCAAGTTTTAGCTCCATCTGCCTGAATGAGTTTCAGTGCAGGTGTTTTCTATGATTGCTTTGCTGTGGCGGCCATCTTAGAAGTGTATCCAATGGATGATTTCTGAGAGTTTCATTAAAGTTCATCCTGCGGTTCTTCAGATGTGCAAACATGATTGTCCCCTCACCTTCAGCAGTTTGTTCATGCCCTTTAAGCCTTTTTAAAACTTCACAAGAAACTCATCAGAAGGCAGAATTCAGTCGAGCAGCAGATTTAACCCTCAAGTTGTTGGAAAAACTAAAATCTCCCTTCAGAGCACTGGACTTTGTTCCACGTCTCCTCACAAAGATGAGTTTGTTGGACTCAGAGGCAGCTCAAAGCTCAAGTGCTCTGTAAACATTTATTTACCAGTGCAAGTGAATGTTTTTATTCCAGCTGATTCCTTCTGCAGGTGTCACCACAGCAAACAAGTTCACAAAACATTTGGACACCAAATGCTCCTGGCCTCAAATCCAAAACTGCAGCGCTGACCACCAGACTGCCCCCACACCCTCCACTGAAAGTAGTTCAAGCTTCTCGGGCAATAAAAAGACAAATATGACCAGATGAGCCATAGCATATTTACACTTCATCATTAATGAACAAAAGAGAAACCATTACGGTTTCCACAGGAGTCCAGTGGCCGAAGGGCAAACGGGTGCTGCTCAGTGATGAACTGATCGTCAGCAGGTGTGAGTGCCTCCAGAAAAGAACAAAAGATGAGCTGAAACTACAGGAGGTGCAAACCACACAATGGATCTTTCTATTAATGAGCCCTAAAACAAACTACGTATTTTGAGGAATCTTGTCAGAGAAATGGTGACATTTGCAAACGATCTGGATCATTTGAACGAGCGATAAGAACAGAGTAGCAGAGGGTCTGGAGTCGTTCTCTTTCCTTGTAATTTCTTCATACTTTTCTATTCAAATGCCAAGAGCTCCTTTTTTTTTAAGGTGAGAGCAGCAGCTCAGGATGCACGACAAAACACATGGTCAGGTGATAAATTGATCAATTTCAACAAACTAAATCATGTTGAAGCTTTTAGGATGGAGAATTTGAAAATAATGACCTCATTATTGAACTTTTTCTTCTTTGGGACTCCAGCACATCTGATTTGTAAGTGTATAAATACTTTCAGGGTTGTTAAATGTACAACTTATAGTAAATTAAGCAATATTTGTGTTAAATGAAAAACATTGGCCAGCAACTAGGGAGCACACCAACAACTACCACCAGTGCTGTTGACAAACAAGATGCCAGCAGAAACTGCTGTTAGTCGAAGTCCATGAGGAGGGAAATGTGTCAGGAGACAGAGGGAGAGGAGGAAAGTGAAGAATGTAGGACTGAGGGTGGCAACTCTAAATGTGAGGACAATGACAGGCAAAGGTAGAGAGCTGGCTGACATGATGCAGAGAAGGAAGGTAGATGTTTTATGTGTCTAAGAGACCAAGTGGAAGAGCAGCAAGGCTCGCAGCATTGGAGCAGGGGTGGTCCTGAAGGAGGAGTTGGTAAATAATGTAGTAGAGGTGAAGAGAGTGTCAGATAGGGAGATGCTCCTGAAGGTAGAAGTAGAAGGTCTGATGCTAAATGTCAATGGTTATGCTCCACAGGTTGGATGTGACGTAGAGGAGAAAAATAAATTTTGGAAGGATCTGGATGAAGTGATAGAGAGTATTCCCAGGGAGGAGAGAGTGGTGATCAGAGCAGACCTGAATGGACATGATGGTGAAGGAAACAGAGGGGATGAGGAAGTGATGGGTAGGTTTGGTGTTAAGAAACCAGGAAGGACAGATGGTGGTGGATTTTGCTAAGACAATGGAAATGGCTGTAGTCAACACTTATTTCCAAAAGAGGGAGGAACATAGAGTGACCTATAAGAGTGGAGGAAGGAGTACACAAGTAGACTACATTCTGTGTATGAGAGGAAACCTGAGGGAGATTGGGAACTTTAAGGTTGTGGCAGGGGAGATCATGGCCAGACAGCATTGGATGGTTGTGTGTAGAATGACTGTTGTTGTGAAGTAGAGAAAAAAAGTAAAATCAGAAAAGATCAAATGGTGGAAGCTGAAGAAGGAAGAATGTTGTGAGGAGTTCAGAGAGGAGCTGTTAAAAAATCTGGGTAATAAGAAAAAGCTTCCAAAATGACTGGGCTACTAAAACAACAGTAATTAGAGAGACAGGTAGGAAGATACTTGGTGTGTCATCTGGACAGAGAATGGATGATAAAGAAACCTGGTGGTGGAATAGTGAAGTGCAGGAAGCTGTTCAAAGAAAGAGGTTAGCCAAGAAATATGACAGTGAGAGGACCGAAGAGAGGAGACAGGAATATAAGGAGATGGGACGTAGAGCAAAGTGGGAGGTAGCAAAGACAAAGCAGAAGGTGTATGATGGGTTGTATGGGAGCCTGGACACTAAAGAGGGCGAGAAGAACTTGTACCGATTGGCGAGACAGAGATCAGGCTGGAAAGGATGTGCAGCAGGTTAGGCTTGTTAAAGATATTAATGGTAATGTTCTAACAAGTGAGGAGAGTGTGACGGGATGATGAAAGGAGTACTTTGAGGAGCTAATGAATGAAGAGAATGAAAGAACTAAGAGTAGATACCATAAAGTTCTATCTTATCTCATCTTATCTTATTGAAAATGTGGACCAGCAAGTGTGAAAGTTTAGCGAGTGGAGTCTGGAATGAATGAAGGGGAAGGCAGTAGTACCTGATGACATACCAGTGGAGGTTTGGAAATGTCTTGGAGAGATGGCAGTGAGGTTTTTGACTCAAATATTGAATGGCATATTTGTAGGTGAGAAAATGCCTGAGGAATGGAGAAGTGTTCTGGTGCCCATTTTTAAGAACAAGGGTGATGTACAGAGTTGTAGCAACTACAGGGGATTTAAGCTGACAAGTCACACAATGAAGATCTGGGAGGGAGTTGTGGAAACTAGACTTAGATGAGAAATGATCATTTGTGAGCAACAGTATGATTAAAAGAGCACCACAGATGATCGTCTTCGCTTTGAGAATGCTGATGAAGAACAGAGAGGGCCAGAAAGAACTACATTGTGTCTGCGCATTTAGAAAAAAAAAGCATATGACAGGGTGCTGAGGGAGGAGGTGTGGTACTGCATGAGGAAATCTGGCGTGACTGAGAAGTGTTAGACTGGTACAGGACATGTATGAGGACAGCAAAACAGTGGTGAGATGTGCTGTAGGAGTGACAGATAGCTTCAAGGTGGAGGTGGGATGCATCAAGGATCCGCTCTGAGCCCCTTCTTGTTTGCTCTGGTGATAGACCGACTAACAGGTCAGGCAGTAATCCTTGCAGACTATGATGTTTGCAGATGACATTGTGATTTGTGGTGAGAACTGGGAACAGGTGGAAGAGAACTTGGAGAAGTGGAGGTATGCACTTGAAAGAAGAATGAAAGTCAGCTGTAGTAAGTTAGAGAGGCCAGACTGAGATGGTTTGAACATGTCCAGAGGAAGGAGTGGATATATTGGTAAAGGATGCGAAGGATCACCTCCAACTACAAGTGATGAGTTGTTGCCGACACCAACAACGCATGCTTGGATCCATATGGATGCAGGTGGAGAGGACATGGAGGTAGTTGGAGTGAGGACAGAGTGAGATGGAGGACTCACTGTTGCGACTCTTGAAGAGAGAAAATCTAAAAGTTCTCGAGTTTTGATCGTTAGCGGCCATGTTCTCTAAAGAGCAAATCTGACCGCCGACATGCAACCAGTGATTACCGGTACTTCGAGATATTTTGCTAACCAGGAAGACAAAAACATACCCAGACATAGGCAAAACATGATCACCCCTCACCTCCAGCTGCAGGTGGTAAGTTGTTGCTATGACACCAACAATGTATGACACTTGGATCCAGAACTTCAAAATAAACACCTGGGAAAAGGTACGACACCCTCCTGCTGTCCTTGGCTCATGACCCACGAGTCTTAAAATTGAGGCCTCGTATATCATTTTAAACCAAGAGCAGCAGGAGGGTGAAGCTGTGTAACTACTAGAGCTGCACAATATGTCAAATAAATATTGCTTTCGCAGTATATGTATCAGAAAGTACCACATTCAAGTTACGCAGCCCCAATATTAACAGTTCAGACATAACCCATTCCTTTGTGTAACAAAGTTTATTACATATGTTCAAACATATGTACAGCACATTTCTCATGAAGTGTTGGTTTGTTTTCCCACAAATATAAATTATTTAGAATTTTACAGAACATATGTTACAAGAACTTTAGGTTTATGGAAGAAAAGAAAGAGCTAGTTCACTGTACCAAGCGCACCCGTAAAGAAAAAACTAAACTGAAAAAAACGATGGTATTTTCTCCCCTCAAATCATCATCAGAGCCTTCTGGAGCTGGACGAGCACATGAATCATCAGAATGTGTGTTGTTTTTATGATTTTGAGTTTAGCTATGATTCAGGGAAAAAGAAAGGGGTGGCAGGGTTGTCTCTGACAGACTGAGGCAGGTTCAGATGATGGCACGTCATCAGTGACTCACTGGAAACAAAAGCTTTAATCGTTTAACTTTTACAGACAAATGCAGCCTTTATATATTTGCAGTAATACCTACGATAATACTGAACGGCTGTAATAAAGTATTGTTCTGATCTATAGTGTTCTGAACCTTTACAGATGATGGATACTGATACCGACTTGAGAGCTTTGGGCTGAAGTTAAAAGTGAACAGTGTGGGGCAGAGGGGACTGGGGGGGCGGGTGCAATAAATTATACAGCTACATAATTGAAAAACATTTAGTTGTACGCATGAGAAATGTGTTCGTTAAAACCATGACAATCCCACGGGACACAGAAGAAACATACGAAACCTTCCGGTAAAGTTCAACCTCCACCATTTTTTGTTTTTTGTTTTTCCCCCCTCATGGTGAAAATCCATGAACTGCTTCGGCTACATGATGGAATTGATTCAAAAGGTGCAACAAGTTCCACATTCTGCTGTGCCAGCTGTAATGACGTCATCTGCAATACTTGAAGCTAAAAAAAAAAAGGTCTCCATCACGGTTCTTCTGGGAACATTCCCGAACGTTACTAATCACAAGGCCGATACTTTCAGGCACTTTTAGGAGCTTGTGTCCAAGTTTTCCTTTAATTAGTCCACGGGACTAAAACATCTTCCAGTTTTTGCTCAGTGTCGAGAGCAGAGCTGCGTCGTCTGAACAAAGATGCAGCTTTTAGATTTTCCATCTCAACGAAAGATGGAAACAAACGTCTTCCTTCAGGAAAGAATTAATTCACAGCCACGGAGCTGATAAAAGTCGAGGCCACGCTCGTCCAGCAGCAGCAGCAGCACGTGGCTCTGATCCTGGACTCAGATCAGTTTCTAAGCCAGATCCGGCAGACTTTAGGCTTTCCTGTTGTTCCAGTTTGGGTCTACCATGGCACCGGGCTCAGTGGGACGCTCCAGAGGGGAGCGGGAGTCCGGTGGAGACTTTTGAGTCTGAGGGGAGCGGGGGTCCAACAGTGGAGGTGGTTTGTCAGGGTGGAAAGATCTGTTATAGTGATCTGGTCCTGGCGGACCTGGTGGTCTGTGGTCCGGCATCCTCCTGAAGTCCTGAGAAGGTCCCTGGTGGTAAGAGGAGTGGAAGTCATCGGGACGTCGTCTTTTGGGGTCTGGATGCCTGAAAGATCAGTCAAGGTTTCATTACTGAGGCGAAAAGGAAAGCTGCACGTTTGTTGCTCCGGCTGTCCGACGTGAACAAATTAGTTTTTAGACGATACATTTGGACTCTAACTCACCTGTCGTAATATGGTCGTTGACCCCGGTGGTCCCGGTCGTTGCCGTACTGCTCGTACAGCCTTTTCCGGGGAGAAACATTGTTGCGGTAGCTGCGATACGAGTCTCCGTGAGGCCGCCGGTCACCATAGTGATCCTTGTAGCGATGAGGGTCATAGGGATGGTGGCGGTCTCCCTGCCAGGGCTGGCTGCTGTTTCCTGGATAGCTGTATTTACGGTCCCTCTGCCAGTCCACTCGATCTGTAAGAGAACAACAAGCAGTTTAAATCAAACTGAAGTTTTGGTTGAGGTAGACGGTGTCTCAGTTCAGAACGTGATCCCGGAGGTTTAAATCAAAACAGTTTAAATAAATAAATAATAATAATAATAATAAATGTGTAAATGCTATGTTGTCATCATTGTATGTTCCCATACAAAGACAAAATTGGCTCTCTGCATTTAACTCATCACACCTGGGATGCACCCAGGTGGAGCGGTGGGCAGCTTTGTAAGCGCCCGAGGAAAAATTTGGGATTAGGTGTCCTGCTCAGAGACATGAGACATGCAATGACTGGGGATCGAACCCAGGACCTTCGGGTCCCGAGTCGGCTGCCCTGCCCCTACACCATCTCAGCCCCCAATATAATATAATAATATTTGTACCGTTGTTGCCAAAGTGGCGCTTGTTAGCAGAATTGTAGGCTTCTCTGTGGTGTCCGTGAGGTCCGGACTGGCCCAAGTGAGACGGATGTTTGGAGGACTGGGTTCCTGGGGAGTCTCGACTGGAGCCAGAAGCTTCTGGTCTGAACGATTTGGTTCTTCCTGAGACGTCCTCCTTCTTCTTGTGCTCTTTCTGGAAACAGAAACAAGTCAGTGCTGGTGATGCCCGACCGCTCACCCCGGGACACTCCAGGTAGCGTACCTCTTCTTCGTGCGACCTCTTCTTCTGGGCCATTTTGTACAGCTTGTGAAGCTTCTTGGCGCTGAACTCTGTGAACTTGGACACAAAGATCCAGAGGTTCCTGACGCAAAGAAAGAGACCCAGTTTGAACACGAGGCCTGAAAAGATGATTTAATTTAGCTGAGACTCGTGGTACCTTCGCCACATCTTCACATGTTCGGGGTCGCTGTAGGCTTTAAGGCACTCGGTGATTCGGTCTCCAATCTTCAGCAGACACGTGCGCGTGTGCTGCAGCTGCTCCTGGTCCGACAGTCCTTCGTCCGGTTTGTCCAGCTGCTTCAGGGCCTTCTTGACGGGACGCATTCGCTCCTTACACTGAACACACAGATTTCTGTTCAGAGAAACTCCTCTGACTGTACCGTGTGCACAGCCTGGACAGATGCTTACAATGCTGAAGGTTTCCTGGTCAAGCTCGTCGTCCTCCTTCCCTTCGATGGGGACGGGCTCAGAACCGGCTGTTATGTGAACTGGACCTTGATTTTTCTTCCCTTTGGCTCCTTTAGCCTGAGGCAAAAACACAAACAGCAAAGCATTTCAACCTGAACCAAGTATTTTGTCAAATCCAGATACTTTTTCTGTATTTCATATAAAAACATGAAATAAATACTTTATTTTAAGATAATAATTAATCAATCTCAGACTTATACGCTGGAGTCATTCAGTACGTTCTGAAATACCTTCTCTTTCCTGGGCCTGGAAGTTTTCTTTTCTTTGTCCCCGTCCTTCTCCTTTTTAGGTGTTCCCTGTTTTTCTTTGTTCTCTTTGTTGCCCTTCTTCTTTTGTCTCTTCTTCACGCTGGACTTTTCTGCTCCGCCGTCCTGCTCAAACACAAGGACGCAGCGAGTCAATGAAAACATGAGAGTCCAAGAACATTTCCCGTTACGCCAGCAGAGAAATGTGGTTTTTGATCTTCGGGCTGGCTGACCTTCACCTCGCCCTCCTCTGACGGGTTCTCAGACAGCCGAGGGGAGGAGATCTCATTGCCCTGCTCATCTTTGAGAACCTTCTCCTTTTTCACTCGAGGCTTCCTCTTCTTCACTTTCACCTTGGAGGAAGAAACGAGACTTTTAATTATTTGTTAACATGTGAATGAACCAGAGGACAAAACGTATTTTTAATGAAGAGCAGCAAACCTCCTCTCCTGGTTTCGTCGTGTCTGTGTTGTCTTGTTCCTTTTTGAGCAGCTTGAGCAGATACTCGGCTCTCGCCTGCAGCTGTTTGGCCTGAGGTTTCTTGCTGGGGTCATCTGGAAGAATCTGACCGGAGGTACATGAACGTTAAAATGCATCTTCTTCGACACCACATTTACAGACTACAGTCCTGACAAATGTACTGGTGCGCTTGAAGACGTCCAGAAACTTTAGGAGGATGGGCTGGGGAATTTGAAAATATTGAAATATACTGGAAACTTTATAACAGGAGTTATGGAAATGTATGGGAATCAAGTGGAAATGGCATCAATGTCCTGTTTTACATCCAAACAAAATATTAACATTTTGTTTTGTTGAGTGCAGATAATGTGTTTGACTGAAAGTTTATGAAAATAACTAGTTTAATGACCTAACGTTAATACACTGTCACAGACAACATTTAGATGATTGTTATTTTTTTATTTTAGCGTTTGTACTTTTATTTTTAAACATTTTTTTTGTCGTGTTAATCCTTTTAGAATTTCATAAAACTCAAATCTGAATAAATATTCATGTTATGGTGTTTTATTTTCCCATGTTTAACTCGTTTTCACACAAAAACAAAACAAGAAATCAGTGCTTTAACGTGTCTAAATTTATGTACAGAAAATGTTAACTTTCATCAACACGACTGAACATTTTTTACATAGTAACTGATCATTTGTTTAAATTAAATCTCCAAAGACATTTTTTCAATAAATTGCATTTCGCAACAAAATTACAACTAGGAACAAAACTCTTCACTCCCACCTGCCCCTACTGAATTATTTATCTTTTTTAGGGTGTCCTTCCTCTCGTCGTACGACGCCACATGAAATCTGACTGTTTTAGTCAAGATCATGTTTTCCCTGTTGGGCCACATACAGAATTTAAATCCCAATTCCTATAAATCGCTGTAACTTTGGGTTAATTCCCAGAACATCCTGTTAATTTCCAGGGAAAGTTACCATCTTTGACAGTTCCTGGAATTTTGCGACCCTACACAACCTGATGAAGGAAATAAAGACGCTTGCCTTCTCAGCCAGTTTGAGCTCGGGGTCGGTCTTGATCAGATCCCAGTTGCCAAAGCCGTGCTCGTAGGTGCCCAGTAGGAGCTGAACATCGTCCTGCAGGTCCCACTCCACGTCAAAGTGAGCTATTTTAGCCCTGCAGGTTAGCTTGAACCTTAAGGTGGACAAAGAGCAGCCGTCCTGAGCATGCAGTTTTAAAACAACGCAGAAGTGTTCACATGTGAGGAGCATCTTACTGATTCCTCTCAGCGGGGTTGGGGGGCACTGCTTTGTGGAGCGGCTCAAACTCCTCCTCGTGCTGGATGATTGACTTGGCGTTGACCTGAACTCCTGAAATCTTGAAATTGATTCCTCGTCGTTTCCCGGGACCTTTGGCTGGAACGACCATGTGCGTTATGTTTGGACGTGAACAAAACATTTTGAAGAAAATGTTCCTGTGCAGGCAACAAACCTTCAACTGGGTTCTCCTTCAGCTGCTCCTCGTGCTCCTGTATTGCCGCCACACAGCTGGTGTGAATCAGCTCACCGAGCCTCTTCAGGTCCGCTATGGATTTGTCCACCAGCTCAGAGTCTCGAGCAATGGCCTCCAACCTGGACGCAACAAGTTTGTTCAAATATCCCACAAACAAAGCAACGCCATGAAGACTTGTAACAAAGAGCAACACACCAACCTTTCAAGGGGGGATCCAAACTTCTTGTAGGCCTTAATGAACCTTTTGATAAAAACAAAGTTCTGTTGGTCTACTGAGCAGACGCTGCAGCTAAACTGAGCTTTGTAAAGGATCACAGAATAATTCACCTGCGGATCTCTACGTCGGTGAAACCCTCCACGGTGTTTTTGCGAGCACGAGGTCGTCCTCTTCTCTTTGGTTTCTTGTCGTCGTCGCTGTCGTCAGACTCGCTCTCTGAGCCCGACGAGCGCTGCTTCAGCTTGGAGCCGACGTCACTGTCGCTGTCGTTAGCCTGAGCCTGAAAAACCAGAGAGGGGACTTCAGGGAGCCGTAGTGGTTCAATCCAAGACCAGAATGGGTTTGGGAAATGTGTTAAGGAGTTTTTAATGAACAATTAAAAAAATATTCTCACTCGTTTGTTAGAGCTCCTGCTTCTGGGCAGCATGAAGATGTCCTCCATCTCCCGCTGCTTCGCCTCCTCCTCAACTTTCCGCCGCTGCTCCTCAGGAATTATGTCATCCCAGTCCCGTATGGCCTTCTCCCCCAACTCTGGAGTTGTTTCTTCCATGCTGGAGAAGTTGGCAACCTGCAGAGAAAAAAAAAACCTTAAATGTTGGATTTGTACAAACAGTATCTGAAAGAAGGCTTCAAGCTTTGCAGTTGTGTTTTTGTGAGATGAATCAAAAGAGTTCAGCACCTTAAACTGGGACAGAAGTTCATCTGTGGCACTGGAGCCTTGATCACTTTCCCTCGTTTCAGCCAACCTCAAGATCTCATCGATATCCATTTCCTACAGAAACCAGGAAACGGTTTAATTCTCTTTTCATCTGAACAGAGTTTCAGTCCACAGCGTATAAATCAGTGGTACCTGAGGCTCGGACTCCTCTCCTTCTGCCTCTTTGAAAAGATCTTCTGCACCAAACTTCAGAATTGCTGTCAGTTCTTCTTTGTTGAAAGGGTTTGAACTTTTAAAAAAAAGAGTTAAACTTGTAACAAAATATTGACAAAAACAAGCTGTTTAAACTAAAACAGGAAGCTTTCGAAGTCTTACTTTGTATTTCCTGAATTGTTGTCCAGAACAGTTCGACCAGTGGTGTCCATTCTCTGAATGACAAGATGGTCCAAAACCATCTTCTTCTTGGCCCTCTCGATGATGTCCTCCTCCACCGTTCCTTTTGTGACCAGTCGGTAAATATTCACCTGTAAAGAGGGGCAGCACAGATTCATTATTTTAGGACGATGTTGCAGCTCCTCTCTGTGAATAAGAGCCAATAATCACCTGTTTCTTCTGTCCGATCCGGTGAGCTCTCGCCTGTGCCTGCAGGTCGTTCTGAGGGTTCCAGTCGGAGTCAAAGATGACCACGGTGTCCGCTGAGGCCAAGTTAATACCTAAACCTCCGGCTCTGGTCGACAACAGGAAGCAGAAATCCTTTAAAACAAAGAAAACAGAATTATTAAACAGGACATGGTCAGCCTTCATGCATCTAAAACATCTGAGCTTTTAGACCTGGTTTATAAAACATTTTAAAGATGACAGTTTAGAACAATGATCTCACTATCATTGAATGATCTGTTTTGAATTAAATTAAACATGGACTTCGGAGTGCTTTGGCATCATTTGGACTGCAGCTTCAACAAATATTTAGGGCAACAGCTTGGATATAATCTGAAGTTTACATACCTCTGAGCCCTCTGCATTAAAGTGGTCGAGTGCTTGCTTTCGGATTTCTCCTTTTATGGAACCGTCCAATCGCTGAAGAGAAGAACATTCAACATAAGAAATGTATCCTGTAAAGCCATCTTCTTTACATTATTCTGCTCTGCACCGTCGCTGACTACAGACCGAACACAACAGACGAATGCAAAGAGCAAAAACAAACCCCAGTTGGGTGACGCGCAGAGCTCCAGCTGGTCTCCAGCAGCAAATAACTTGTTGATATAAATAAGCACACGAAGCCCGTGTGCGACAACACCGATATCTGATCTTGGTCAGGGACTAATCTGCTCAGCGCAACCTCCAAAAGACCCTTCCATGTAAAACGCAAGAGTCAAAAACTGAAACCTGTCTTTCAGGGGACACAGCTGAAGAACAGCATCAGTTTGAACAGGAACAAGAACAGGAAACGGCATCAAATATAAGCTGAGGCCAGAACAGTTGTATTAACTGGCTAAAACCAGAGCCTCACACATATAAACACATGGATCCAGTAAGTTTAGGACATTTATTTAATGGAGCAAACTACATATTGTTTAAGGCTTTAATATACAGTGGGACCCAGTTATGCCCTTTAATTAATACAGTGATCTCTTTTTGAACACTTGTCATTGTAAATGACACACAATTTGCTGACTGATGGATGAGCTGCACAAGTGGCATGGACTGTTTATTTAAAATTAATTATTTTAAATTATTATCACCTGCTGCACCTTTGTGCAGCCAACAGGTGCAGGGAGAAGCTCCCTCTGTCGTGATCTCCTTCTGCCACCCACACATTCCTGCTCGATGCTGAAGCAGCTTCGTGAAGGGTTAACCCTTTGCTGTCCAGCTGGACCGAATGACTTTTGTCTTCTAACTTATAATTCAAATGATGTCACATCATAAAATCGTCAGCTGGGTTGATGAACAAGTCATCCCAGCTGAAGTGAGTTTTCCTCCACACCTTGATGCTCACTCGAGTTTCATGTTGCTGCAGGACAGGCATTGTACCAAAGTGTTTAGGAGCGCGCAGCCTGTTTAAGTCTCTCACCGTTTCCGCTGCTTTAGTCCTTCAAGTCAAACTACAGGTGCAGGTCATAAAATTAGAATATCATGAAAAAGTTGATTTATTTCAGTAATTCCATTCAAAAAGTGAAACTTGTTATATTCATTCATTACACACAAACTGATCAGTTGTCCAAAATACAATCATTGACACCTTGCACAAGGAGGGCAAGACACAAAAGGTCATTGCTAAAGAGGCTGGCTGTTCACAGAGCTCTGTGTCCAAGCACATTAATAGAGAGGCAAAGGGAAGGAAATGATGTGGTAGTAAAAAAGTGAACAAGCAAAAGGGATAACCGCACTCTGGAGGAGATTGTGAAACAAAACCCATTTCAAAATGTGGGGAAGATTCAGAAAGAGTGGACTGCAGCTGGAGTCAGAACTTCAAGAACCACCAGACACAGACATATGCAAGACGTGTTTCTGCTGTCACATTCCTTGTGTCAAGCCACTCTTGAACAAGAGACAGCATCAGAAGCGTCTCGCCTGGGTCTGCTGCTGAGTGATCCAAAGTTATGTTTCTGATGAAGGTAAATTCTGCATTTCTTTTGGAAATCAAGGTCCCAGAGTCTGGAGGAAGAGAGGAGAGGCACAGAATCCACGTTGCTTGAGGTCCAGTGTCAAGTTTCCACAGTCAGTGATGGTTTGGGGCCATGTCATCTGCTGGTGTTGGTCCACTGTGTTTTCTGAGGTCAAAGGTCAACCAACGCAGCCGTCTACCAGGAAGTTTTAGAAACTTCATGCTTCCTGCTGCTGACCAACTTTATGGAGATGCAGATTTCTTTTTCCAACAAGACTTGGCACCTGCACAGTGCTAAAGCTACCAGTATCTGGTTTAAGGACCATGGTATCCTGTTTTTAATTGGCCAGCAAACTCACCTGATCTTAACCCCATAAAAATAAAAAAAATCTATGTGGTATTGTGAAGAGGAAGATGTGATACACCAGACCCAACAATTCAGAAGAGCTGAAGGCCACTATCAGAGCAACCTGGGCTCTCATAACACCTGAGCAGTGCCACAGACTGATCGACTCCATGCCACGCCACATTACTGCAGTAATCCAGACAAAAGGAGCCACAACTAAGTATTGAATACTGTACATGCTCATACTTTTCATGTTCATACTTTTCTGTTGGCCAACATTTTTAAAAATCCTTTTTGAATTGGTCTTAAGTAATATTCAAACTTTCTGAGATACTGAATTTGGGGTTTTCATTAGTTGTCAGTTGTAATCATCAACATTAAAAGAAAAACATTTGAAATATAACAGTCTGTGTGTAATGAATGAATACACAAATGTCATTTTTTGAACAGAATTACTGAAATAAATCAACTTTTTCATGATATTCTAATTTTATGACCAGAACCTGGAAATTTACTCTAAAAGGCACTGGTTCTTTTGACAAAGATTATAGCAAAGCTGCGTCTCCGTTTAACTAGTTTTTCCCTTCAAAACTCACAACGTTCTCTATGTGAAAGTGTTAGTTTCATGTGTTTGTTATATCTGCAGATTTCAATATTACACAGGATTAAAACTAATTAAACAAGGTTTTTGTGATTTATATGTGCTAAGCTGGTTTATATTTGACAGAGTTAGTGTGAAGTGAATTATAAATTGTGCAACTCTAACCTGAAACGGATATCTCTTCTTTGTGAGATACTCGGCCAGGATGTCCAACATCCGGACCATTTGGGAAAAAATCAGGACTCTGTTGCCTCTCTCCCGGAGTCGAGTCAGCAGCTTGTCCAGAAGAACCAGCTTCCCGCTGCCCCTTACTACAGCCTGACACACAAAAATAGAAGGATCAAAAAGCAATTAACCAGAAAACATCAAAGAAATTAAAAGAAGCTGCATTGCTGTCTGTAAGGCATCGACTAGTTTTAGAGTTATCCCGAGGCTCAGAGCTGAAGACCTACCTGCTGCAGGTTTTCCTGTGGGGTTTCACCGTCTCCCTCCTCGGGATGTTTGATAAGAAAACTGTGGTTGCAGCACTTCTTAAGCTCCATTACAATGTTCAGGAAGCCCGAGGAGCTTCCACGAGTGCCTTTGGAAAGAGCTTTGTAATTTCTTGTTAAAATCCACCTGGAGAAAGAGACCGGGAAGAGCAGCCGTTAAAAAATACACTCTTCATCTAAAGATGAGAACTTTACCGGAGGACGAGGACTGGTCGTACTTGTAAAACTGTTTCTGCTGTGCAGTCATGTCGACGCGAAGGATTTGCTCCACTTTGGCAGGAAGAGACTTCTCCACGTCCTTCTTGACTCGTCGGAGCAGGAAAGGCTCGAGGACTTTGTGAAGGCTCTGGTAACCGTTATCCCTCCCTTTCCCGTGGTTGTCCTCAAAGTCCTCCCAGGAATCAAACCTGCGGTGTGAAACAAAGACAAAACAATCCAAACCGTGACACACTGTGGAGCTTAATCTACTTCTATTTGGTATATTCTTAAACATGTGAAGCAGGAACGTACTTGTCAGGCATTAGGAAGTGCAACAAGGACCAGAGCTCCTTCAGGGAGTTCTGCAGAGGAGTGCCGGTGATGAGGAGCCTGTGATTAGACCTGAACTCCATTAATGTTTTGTAGAGCAGGGAGTCGTCGTTCTTCAGCCTGTGAGCCTCGTCCACGCCCAGAAAAGCCCAGTTTATATTTCCGAGGACCCCCTAAAGTCAAATGTTAGTGACATGGTTAGTGACAGACCCTCTTAGTTTCCACAAACAGCAACACGTCGATAAATGGTCTCACCTTGTCTTTGAGTAGAATCTCATAAGTGGTGAGCAGAGCGTTAAAACGGATTCTTTTGGTTTGGTGGTTCACCCACTCGTAGTCACGAATCTACACACACAAAAAAAAAAAAAGTCATAGCTCGTAGCACAAAATACATCCAGACAGTCTTAGTGAAATGTAACTCACTGTTTTCCTGCTCATGACGTCGCCGAGGTACACCACCACGTTCATGTCCGGGGCCCAGGTCTCGAACTCCCTTTGCCAGGAGGATAGCGTGGACAGAGGCACCACCAGTAAGAAGGGTCCGTAGAGCTGGTGCTGGTGGAACAGGTACGACAGGAAGGAGATGGTCTGGATGGTCTTTCCCAGACCCATTTCATCAGCCAGGATCACACTGTTGCACCTGGGGGGGGGTATTTCTCTTGTTTCTTCTTTTAAATGTGGTATTAAAACGAATGTCTATTAGTTGGCATGGTACCTGCACCAGGAGTGAGCCAGCCAGTTCAAGCCGTCCAGCTGATAATCTCTCAGCTCCAGGGTCTCGTCACCGATATACGACGGCTGTTTCTTAAGAGCAGAAAACCTCGGCCTCTGCTTCAAGACCTGAAATAACAGACACATTTCTACAGTGATGAAGGGGATGTTTAAAAAAAAAAAAAAATCAAACACTGTGGTTGAGCTCTGACCTTGCAGTCTTTAGAGGGCACCGTCTTGCTGGAGTTTCGGTTCGTGAAGCTGTCTATGCAGTGCTGAAACTTCTTTCCGACCAGAGCTCCATCCTCCCAGCTGCACTCGGAGTACGGCAAACCCATCCACTTGCACAAGTACTCGGGTTCGTTGGAGGGTGGGATCTTGTGACTGTGAGCTATTTCGAAAAGACAACAAAGTTCAGCGTTGCAGAAATGTCAACAGATTTAAATTAAATTAAAAAAAAAGACTAAAACAGTGGACATTCTGGTGGCAAAAGGTACTTACAGGGGAAGTCAGAAGACCCAGGCGTCTTTCCTGTTTTTGTTGCTGTTGATGAAAAGGTTTTGTTTAGACGATGTTCTTAAAGAGAACTAAAGTTATTGCTGAAACTACTGGAGATGGTACCAAGAAGTTACACTCAGATATATTGGTTGGGATCAGCTTTGAAGACAGCAAATAATAATCACTAATAAATGTGCTGTTATGTCAAATTGTTACTAAAGTTTGACGTTCCTAAAGTAACATGGATAAATACAGAACAGTTCATAGAAGAGGCAGCTGAGGTTTAGCCCCACATTTAAGCTTAGCATTAAAAGAGAAACTACAGCAAAGTATTGTGGGAGTCATGCAGCATGACTTCTCACCGATCACTCGCTCCACAAACTGAAACTGCTTCATTAGGTCGGCTGTGAGCTCCTGCTGGCAGTTATGAAACTCGATGTCCTCGGGAGACGCCCTCCTCAGCCTGCAAACCAAGTCAGAATTGACTGAGAATCCTGGAGACATTTTGCTAACACAAAGCCCCTGATCTAAAGACTCACCAAGAATTCAGCTCGTCGTTTTTCTTCTTGAAATTGTCTAGTTTCTTCAACCCTTTGACCTTCTGCTGCATCAGAGAATCCATGCTCTCCCACGTGTTGTGGATGTACGACCAGCCCTTCCACTTGATCAGATACTGGGTCTCCCCTTCCTCCTTCTCTGGGTCAAACCCTTCACACGGATCCCCGTTTTCCTCCAGGGCGTACATGGTGGTGGAGGCTCCAGTGGCTAGAAGAAGAGGGGAAAAAAAAAAAACGAGGTTCACAAAAGCTATTATTATTCATCTTTATTGGACACAGTAAAAGTATTACCTCCTTTGCTTCCGATTCTGCAATCAAGAACTTTCTCGATGGTTTCGCTGTCGTCGTCCTGCTGCTCCTCGCCGGCGTCGCCCGTCATTTCGATCAGGTCATCAGAGTCCGTTTCAAAGTCATGTTGGTCCTCTTTATAGCTGCAAAGCAAGGTGGGATACATCCGTGTCTCGAGATGCAACGTTTCATGGGACGTTTGCAAACGCTTTGTTCAAACATCACAGAACATTGAAAATAAGCAGATAAAGTTCTGGCCTTGGGGTGGGCCTGTATATTTCTGCTCCTATTTTAATAATTTTATAACTTTGTTTATTTGCAAAGTGTGCAGCTTTTCTAACTGCAGTGTTTTCGTCAGTGCTTCTCAAGGAACTCTTTCAAAGCTTCTTGGTATAAAAAAACAAAAACAAAAAAAAAAACATTAAATTTATAAACATTTCAACACTCGGTGAGACGTTCACAAGTCAAAATGTGGTTACGGTAACAAAACTCCTAAATGTTGACACTGAAAGGATGTTTCAGCCTTCATATAACTTCAATATACTTAAGGGTTATATTTTTAAATTTCAGTGTTTCCCTACCATTATACAAGCGGGGTGCCCCACCCCGTCAACAGAACTGAGCACCCCACCTACCAAACCGAACTTACCCACCCCCACCCCGCACTGACATAGCACTAAGCTAGCAGCGCAAAATACCAGCTCTCTAGCTAAAAAGCTTAAGGCAGTGCTCACATCAACTCTTCCCTCAAACTGAACGCCCCCCGCTCCCACCCAAAAACTGCTGCGCTCAGACATGTGTCTCCCCCCCCCCCCGAACAAAAATCATGGATGAGATGAGCACCCCACATGGCAAGTTAACACTGAATTTATAGTACTTTGCACGGTACAAAATAACTTAAAATTTGCTTTTATATTTGCCAGACTGAGATTTCTGGCTTAAAATGACTATTTCACTCAAAGACGTTATATTTTAAAGATTTCAGCTCATTTAGTTATTTAATATAATTCATTTCATATTTGATCATTTGCTGTATTTATTATAACTATATTTATCAATAGTTACCTCACAGTATGGTTCCAACTATAAACAAGGTTAGCACATACAGATAACCAAAACCTTGTTTATCAGCTATAATCCAGTTTAGAATCTAAAATTGTTGAGATTTATGATAAACTACGAACGCTTAAGATTGACAGGGAGAACGTGTAGAATCTGAACGCATTAATATTTAATACAAAGTTAAATACAAAAGACGCGGAAGGTCAGGACACAATGCGAAAGGAGGGGGTGAAGTGGGGGGGGGGGGGGG